TTTGCTATTTCTAAACTGTTTAAGATAAAATTATATAAGGACTAACCTCTTTTGTTTGTATCCGAGCTTGCCCAGAGGGTGTGCCTGGCATTTGTCTATGATCTTCGACACCAGATTAGCGACTTCTGGCGGTGGGGCTATTATCATCCTATGGACCTATTTATCATAAGTCATATAGGCCGAGCTTATGAACAGAGTCCTGCCATTTTCTCGTTCAGCTTTACAAAAGTAAAGTCCTCGGTGATGTAGCAAAGAAATGATTTATTGTGTCACTTAACTTAAATGAAGGCTTTAGGCCTACGTATTTCTCGTTCCACTAGTTTGTAGAAGAAGTTATATTTCCGGGTGCTAAGTCCCTTGATATCTTTACTGTGCACCCAGTACTTTTAAATCAAAGTGATGTCGATGTCCTCACCTTTGAGGAAGACATTTCCCTCGTTTATGAGAAGTATATAGGATTCGTTGTTTTTTCTGGAGTTCCTTCTTCTCGATGACCTGCTTGTCATTTATCAAAGCTCCGAGACTCGCCTTTCTTAGCACATTCAGTTGTTTGTCAGCTGCAATACTTATGCTAGGGACCGAAATACGTGGCCGGGGTCTCTTTGGGATTTCCTTAGCAGGTCTATCTATATCTATATCTATAATAAATTCTATCTTGGACTCATCCCGGTCGCCGCTAATCTCAGTGACGCACAAACTAAGGAAAACTGCGAAAAACCTTGTGGCCTCTGACTACCCCGGATGAGTCAAAACTCAGGACATTCTTACCTTCGGTGGTTATCAGATATTCCACTGCCATCTTACAGCATCACCTCTACCCTCTATATGAATTTAAATTTTAAGCCAAAAATTTAAATTTTACACAACAATGTGCCTGTTTTTATATTGTGAACCGGCCAGAGAAGTAAGTTTCATTGTGATAAATAACTAGAAAATCTTGATTATCTTGTTAAAAAAAAAATAACAAAAAATATACTTAAGTATTTCTTAAAAAACTTTTTACATATCTGCAAAAAAAAAACAGCAAATACAGAAAGTTTTTATTGGTAAATTTGCAAAGAAAAAAAAACCAAGAACATTAAAAAGAATTAATACATCCATGGCAGTAACGTATGCTCCTAATTTGTGTACTACGATTCCAAAATATTATTCTTGTAGGTTAATATTTTTCACATCAGCCGTGATTTTAGGTTTCACGCTTCCATTAAAAAACTTTCAATTGTCCGTCAAGTTTATCCGCTCAGTTTATACGCTCAAGTACAACGTTTATTGGATAGAAAATGTTCGCAAATGTTCTGTGGAAATTTAAATTGTTGAAGTAAAATTTTCTATATTTTACAAACCATTGATTTGTCAGCTTTATTTTTTGTTTTCATATTCAATTATTTAAATAATTTTTCACTTCCTGATATTCACTCTACCACTAGATAATCACGACTGAAATTAGATTTTATGTTTAAATTTATTGAAATGTCAATGTCAAAAAACCAGTATTGATTGGTGTGTTTGATAGAAGAAGTTGTTAAGTAATGTTACCATTCACGGACTCTTGAGAGCAACGTGTAAGAATATTTCCTTAAATATTGTTCGAAGTGAATCCTTAAAATATTTTCAACAAAATCTAAAACAAGGCACATAATAGGATGCAAAATGTTATTTTGTTTTATGCTTGGTAAAGAAAATACAAAAAAAAAATAAAAAAATAAATTTTAAACTTTTTTTTCCGTGTTCCATTAATAATTAATTTATCTTGTTGTTATTTTTACTTTTATGTTGCTTGCTTTTCTGTTGTACTTGTTTTTTTTATAAGTATATATGTATGAAATTTTATTAAGTTGGCATTATGTTTTGGTACTTACGGTATTTTTTACTTAACACACAATTTTTTTTTCAGTAATTTAAAATTATTATTTGTAGCTATAAGATGTTGTATACGAGTGTTTACAATAAAGTTAAAATATATTGGAGAAGAAGATTATTGTAAGATTAAAAAAGAATGAAAAAAAAAAACAGAAAACCAAACAAAAAGTCAAAACCAAATTAAAAGCTTACGGGTTTCCTTTATTTTCCTAAGGCAATTAAAAATAAAAAAAAATCCTTTTGTCAATTACGTGACAAATAAGAAGATTAAAATTTAATACGAATTTAATTTTCGATAAATTCTTAATTTATAGTTTAAAATATTTTTGGAAGCTGTATCTCTATAGGCGTTTGTGTTTGTCTTACACGCTTTCAAAATTTTTTGAAGATTATTATCTTTGCAGAAATAAAATTTGACAAAATTTTGTCCATGTTACGTAGAACTCATTCCTGACTTCAAGTTAAAGTTTTAAATCAACAAAGTTTAAATTTTTAAATCTTGTAGTAAAACCCACATAAATTCTGCGGTTAGTAATTAAGAATTGATTTTGCTCTGTTAAAGCATAAATTAAGCTACATTTTGTCTTTTAAAACTAAATATTTTCGAAACAAATTTTTTTGAACTTAAGAAGTTTTTCCTTAGAATCATAGAGTTGTTGCAACAATTGCTTGTAAATTCATTTTCCTTATATACTATTTGATATTTGTCATATTCTTAAATTATTTTTACCTTTTCTTTTTCAATCTTTATCCCAATTTCATGTCGGTCAACGATTTTTTTGATTTTTTGTATGTCGTTTGTAAATTCCTATTTATCGTAAGAGCATTATATCGCATACTGAAATACGGATTATTATTAAAAAATCACAAAATTAAGGAAAGCTTGTATTATTAAATTGAATGATTTATTAAATTTAAATCATAATAATTAAATATAGAATCAGTTATTCAAAAATACTTAGGATTCTGTTACTTATTTCAATATTCTCGTTGTATTACATTTATATTCTTTTCTATACTTGCTGTTTTTTATAAAAGCACGTTCATCTATAGCCTATACTAATGAAAATTTATTTTATTTTACTCCTATTTTTTGTTTATTTCCTTAATAAACTAATACTAAAATTTCGTCTTATTTAGGAGGGTTTTAGGTTACCGTATAATTTCATTCCTAAAATAATAACAAAATATTTCATAAAAGACAGCCAAATAATAAAAATATTTCTTGTAGAATAATGAAAAAAAATTAAAAATAAAATAAGTTAACAATTTTAACCAGCTTGCTTAAGCAAGCAATTTTCTACTGCAAGAGGTGAATAAAATAAAAACAACTTGCTTCTGCGACACTTAAAACTTTACTGCTTTTAATATAGTTCATGGTTAAGATTTACTACATAGTACATATTTTATTTACGATGATGTTACCACATCAATATGAGAATCTTAAACTACTCAATTGGTATTTATTGGAAATAGCAGGAAAAGTTGATTAATAAAAAAAACTATGTTTTAAAGTTTAATTGCATTATACTGTTCTTACTTGTTGAAAACTTTATATTTCATTTCAGATACATAAAAAGAAATACAAATAACGTATGTGTGTAAAATTTGTGAATATTGAAGAGAGAGGCGTAAGTAAGGTGGCGTGTTATACAAAGATATGTTATACAAAGACGTTAAAAATGTTTCTAAAATCTTTGGTTATACTTATTGTAGTGTTAAGGCGGATTTCCACTCAATGTCCGGACGTCCGGACAAAATTTTCAACCAATCAGAAATCTTCATTTTACTAACACATAGGCAATACTAAAATAACTTGACAGTTCGTTCATCCAATTTTTTGAGTTAAAAAATATTTAACTTCTGGCTGAAGGCTGAAGCAAAAACACACACTCAATAGCAAACGTCAGTCCATCAGAAATGTCAGTATCAGAAATGTGCTAGTATCTTCTTAACAGTGTAAAAATATTATTGTCCGGACGTCTAGACATTGAGTGGAAATCCGCCTTTAGGTACAACCTAACTTATTGTAGTGTTAAAATTTTATCACAGACTCTTCTACCGTACTGGCTTAAATTTTCTAATAAATTGAAAGATTAAACGGAAAGACGATAAAAATAATTTGTTGGTATATTTTGAAATAAAAAATTTTAAGTGGAAAAATTGAGTTTCCTGGAGAGGAAGAAAAAAGAGCAAAATCTAATGAAAAAAAAAACAAAACGAAAAATAGGAGATAAAATCAAAGATAAAATATTTTTTCCGATATTTGTTTCCTTTAGGGTGTTTTTTATAATTTTTTTATATATACATACATTTATACATACATATATACAAACATATTTATGTGGTCCTATATAAATATCTTTTATATTTCGAAGAGTTACCCAAAATTTTATAGCTGCTATATGATAAAGTAAAGAGTAGATGATCAGAGAGGATGAGCTGGCCCGATCCCTGTAGAAGTTGCTGTGACGAGGTGGAGCAGGAAACGATAGGTAGGAGGAGCACCTCTTCAGATAAAGTTTTCTTCCATCTTATTTGCCATGCGCCTATCTTTGTCGATTTTTTGAGGAGTTCGGGCTATTTCGAATGAGAGGCGAAAGAGACAGATGCGATGGTACCACAACGGACCTAAGTGACCTAGATTATTTAACACTACAAATTGACTCACTAAAGTGGGATGTTGATAATTAGGTTAATTGTCCTGAGTTTATCAACCCTATGGAGTGCTTTAGAATTTTTTGAGTTTCCACAACGATTTATCATATACATATATTTAAATACATATTTTTTTATATACTTTATTTTTATATACTTAGGTAGATTTTCATATCTACCTAAGTTGAGCTTCTATTTTTTATATACACTATAGACGCAATCCAAACTGTGTGAATTCTATCAGAAAAACATAATGTCGAAAATCAGGGTCTACATATGGCTTTCATTGATCTGGAAAAAGCATTGGCAGAAAGCAACGTGTCAGAATATTACGTCAATATTATAGAAGATATATATCATTCATGCACAACGCAAATAAAAAGTACAGGGGGGTTAACAGATTAATTTCCTATTAAAGTAGGCGTGTATCAGGGATCGGGATTGAGTTCACTTCTGTTTAACATTACTATTAATTATTTAAGTGCGGACATTCAGAAGCCAACCTCTTGGAATATACTGTATGCTGATGACATTGCATTGATAGAAGAATCAAAGGATGAGTTGGAAAAAAGTTTAAATCAGTGGAATGGAAGACTAAAAAGTAACGGCTTGCGTATAAATCTCTCAAAAACGGAGTATATGAACTTACCTTTCCATGATAATGATGCTTATGGACCTCAGAATACGGTCTATGTTGAAAGGTAAGCTCTAACAATGGCGTCTGAATTTAAATATCTTGGATCAGTTATAACAGCAGATGGAAAAATAGATCAGCATGTCAAACATAGAGCATGTCAAATGCTCATTGGATGAAATGGCGAACATTTACCGGAGTTTTGTGTGACAAAAGAATGCCATCCAAACTAAAAGGGAAACTGTATAAAACTGCTGTCAGGCCGGCATTAATGTATGACACTGAATGCTGGGCAGCTCAGAAGCAACACGTCCAAAAATTACATGTAGCAGAAATGCGAATGCTAAGATGGGCCTTAAATGTTACCAAACAAGACAAAATTAAAAATATTTATATAAGAGGCAGTCTGAAAATAACACCTATAGACAAAAAAAATTGAAGAAAACAGACTACGCTGGTATAGACACATAAGTAGAAGGAATGATGACCACATTATAAGAAAAGCAATGAATATCAAAGAACCACCCAGGAAAAGACGAAGACCTTCGACAACATTGAAGAAAATGAATGAGAATCATATGAAAATAAACAATCTAAAACAAGAAACAAGCCTAAGAATAAGGAGAGCCGACCCCTCATAACGGGAATACGGCAAGGAGAGAAGAAGAAGAAGATCCATACTCTATAGTTTGAATGTCATATTGAATACAATATAACATTATAATGTTTGAGTGTTTGAATACAAAGGGCGTGTATATTGCAAGAAAATAAGCCTATGTTAAGCGTCTACTTTACCTAGAATAACTTTCACTTGTTTTTTGCTTTTAAAATTAAATTGTATAATTGTAAAAAAAATAAAAATGAGGAAAACAGAAAATCACGAAAGATAAAATTTTTCATAGCTTTGTTTAATAAATACATAAAATTGTTGTATATGGCACTTACCTCTGAAAAAAAAATATGAATATTGGTTTCGTATAATTGTTTGCTTACATGTGCGTATATTTTGCAATATTATGAATATGTAAGTTATTAAACTATCTTGATTCGATTATAAAAAAATAATTTTATTTCACACAATGTCACAACTATTGCTTAAAAATTAAATTTTACAATTACTTAAATTCGAATTGATAGTTTAATTATAATATTCTATTCTTATTAACACCAATTTTAGACTAAATCATATCTTAAAATCTAACAGTATTTATAGTAATTAAAATTAAGTTCATTTCCGGCCTCGTGCAAAATTATAGACGTTTCGTCAGCATTTTTGATGGGAACGATAATTTCGTAATTTCTTCATGTTTAAACATGTTCGATTGCAGACGCTGTGTCAGCAATTTTCATGTGAACAGAAATTAGTATCGTACTGAAGATGTAATTTGATACCACTTGAATATGTAACTAAAGACGGTGATAACTCCTCCCCCTTCAAAGATCTGCGTCCCGTAGATCAAGCTGGAATTTTGGTGCTTCTATGACTGAAATTTGCGGAATCTCTATAGTAGGAACCACTGTTGGAGTGCGTTTTCTCACAACCTTGCTGATGTTTTTCTTGATGACCCAAATGATGATGACTGCAATGATGACGAGTCCTATAGTAATATCGGATGCTATAGAGAGTTGGCTCCTTGGTATTAGCTTCTGAAGTTGTTTTGTGTTGCTGATATGAAGATCGTGAATGTAGTCGAGGCTTAGCTTGATATCTCCTTCTTTTAAATTTTCTTGAAGAACAGGTGGTAAAACTTGCGACGTGGTGGCAGATTCGCTTGTAAATTTCTGACCTTTTATGTGAACGGTTTCGTTGGTATGCTGTATCATAAAGCTTCCAGTTAAGTGTTTGCTCGTGTTGCCACTTGTTAGCTCCCCATTGAAATTATTGAGAAAGATGATATTTTCACTTATGGTTTCTATGATTTCTTCCTTATTGTATTGAAGGCTGCAACTGGCGTTTATTCCCTTTAGCAGTTGATACATACAGTGTCCTTCGTCCAGTTTTCGAATTTTACTTCTTTCGCATATGGTGATGTTTCTTAAATTCTCGCATTTTGTCGATATGCCATATACGTCATCTTTCACGAGAAGTTCCTGATATTCGAGGTAGACTTGTTGGGAGTTTCGGATTGTTGATCTCGCTATAATGTGGTCATAGTACTGGTTGCCTGTCTTCGGTATTGATAATATGTAGAGAATTTCTCGTCCATTGGTTACTACCTGTGGTTTTGCGTATTCTATTGCCTCAATTTCGTTGACGTAGGGTAGTGTATCGATCTCCTTCAGTATTTTTTGGATTTCAATCCTGCTAAGAAGATTTGTGTTGACAATTCCATTTTTTGCTAATTCTGTCGCTAACACGATTTCTCCCAAGGCTTCTTTTATGATTCCAAGTTTGTTAAATATTATTTGTCCGGATCGATGATCTAAGTTCCCTACATGTTCCAAAATGTGGTTAAATCTTTCTACTACTTGGTTTGTTATCCTCATAACTTCACGATTTATTTTGTACTGTTGATTATTATTTTGTATCAGCTTGTCTTGGCTTGTAACGATGTTGTCCTAGTCTGTGGCGTCTGGTGTTCCTGCCAGCCATTTCCATGCTGTACCAATCCAATTTATTGACCGTTGAACTCTTGATTTGCTGCTTCTCAATTTAGTCAGAAATTCCATTATTTGAGCCAGTTGGTGTTCTAACTGTGGTTTCATTATGCTGGTCGAGTTGATTCCATCAACCAAAGGAATGATTTGTTGTATAACCTCGTCATAGCTCTTTAAATCAATGATGTGCACCAAATTGAAATTTCCTTCCAAGATTTGACCTTGTCCTTGTTTAATGGTTGCTATTGCGCCTTTGAATTCGAAGATTTTCGGAAATGCTGTAATTCTAGTGACTGCTAGTCTAAAAAGAAACCTAAGGTTTTGATTATTAACATAATATTCTAATGTTATATGTTCTTGATGTGTGATTTATGGATTCTTTTTCCGGAAGCGGTAATAATGGTAGCTTTATTGTTTTTTGCCACAATCTCTTTCTTGTATATCGGTTTGTGCTTTGCCTTGATTTGCTTGTCTTGAACGTAAATTGTTTCACCTATTGGATAGTTTTTAGGTTCGTCTCTTTTGTTGTTTTCTCTCTTTAATTTCGTTTTCTGATTTTTCTCGATGCGTTCTGTGAGTTCATTATTAATCTTTATTCTTGCTTCGATGAGATTCTGATAGGATGTTTCACTTGGTCTGCCGAAAAAAACGTCGCTGGGCTTCATTTTTGTTACAGAGTGTATTGAATTGTTGTAGCGATCTACTGCTAAGTTGATGATTTCTTTTTGGCAAAGTTGCGGGTATTCTTTCTGAAGACATCTTACTATTTCGATAATAGTTGAATGCACCCTTTCGATTGTCCCGTTTACCTCGCTTTTTTGTGATGATGTGGTGTAGATTTCTATTCCCAAAGCCCTGATGTAGTTCAGTGTTATAGGGCTCACGAAGCTGCGCTCATTGTCGAATATAATCATTTTCGGGACGGTAAAATAGTGTAATACCTTCGTTATTTTGTCCCTTAGATGAATAGCTGATCGATCCTTGATTCTGAAGAATTTCGCAAATTTAGAGAACTTGTCGACGCATGATATATACTTCTCTCCCTGTATCTCCATCAAGTCCATGTGCAATATCTGTGTTGGATATTTAGGTACTGGAGTTTCTTGCAACTGTGGTTTATGTGGTCGCCTATCGTATTTGTTGCTGCTGCAGATATCACAAGTTTTAGTATATTGTTTTATTAAACTGCTCATATGTGGGAAGTAATATTTTGCTAGTATTTGCTTTCTGTTTTCCTCTGAATTTCGGTGTGCTCGCTTATGTTCGCTCTCGATTATGCTGAATTTCCTTTCCTCTAGAGCTACGTCTTCCACTATGCTTTGCGTTATACGGATTTTGAATCTGTTAAAGTGATCCTTAAAGACCTTCTGCAGTATGCGGATGTAGCATTCTGGGATCTTTATTCCATTCACGAGGTTAGGATTTAATCTTTCTTTCAGTATTTTCGTGAGGGTTCCTTCATTTATTTCTGGTAGATCGATGTAATGCCTGTGGTACCTTGGATGTGGTTCTTCGTGTGCTTCTATGTATTTTCCTTGTCTTATAATGATTTGATTCTGGAAGACATTTATCGGCGTCTCGCAGTGGGGTATGAGATCAGAACTGTCCTCCTCGCCACTATGTGCTGTTTCCGTTACGCTGTCCTCATCTGAACTGCTTGCCGTTTCGGTCGAGCTTGTTGATAAGCTGTTTACTTCGGTTGGCAGCCTGGATAGTGCATCCGCGACAACATTTGTTCTCCCAGGCTTATATATCAGCTCGTAGTTATATTCCTCAATTTTTGATTTCCATCTTTTGAGCTTTGCATTATGATTCCTATTACTCAAGGTGAAAGTGAGTGGTTGGTGATCTGTAAGTATCTTGATTTTGTTAGCCCCATACAAATAATTTCGCAAGTTGTCTAATGCCCATACTATCGCCAACATTTCCTTTTCATTTGTGGCGTAGTTTTCTTCCGTGGTATTGAGCGATCTGGAAATGTACGTAATTGGCTTATCTTTTCCAATCTCACCTTGTGATAACACCGCTCCAATAGCTGTGTCGGAAGCATCGGTTGTTAGGATGAACGGCTTCTCGAAATTTGGAAATATTAGGACTTCTGAAGATATAAGTAATTCTTTCAGCCTGTTAAATGCCTTTAACTCTTCTGCATTCAATTTGATTCCAACTTTCTTAGATTGATTGGCCTTTATTTGTGCGTTTTCGCCTCTTGTTAAGCTCGTTAGTGGTTTCGCCACTTTTGCAAAATCTTGAATAAATCTGCGATAATATGATGTGAGTCCCAAGAATGATTTTAGGTCCTTCAAATTTGTCGGTGGCATGATGTTCTGAATGGCCGCCACTTTTCTGGGATCGGGTTTGATTCCTTCGCTTGTGACTATATATCCAAGAAATTCTGTCTCGGTGTTGAAGAATTTTGTTTTTTTCAGGTTGACCTTCAGGTTAGCTTTTTCCAATATGCTAAAAATCGTTT